TTTAAAAATCAGATGCGCTTTTTGCTAAACTACAAAATAAATCATGGAGAATTAAAGATATTGCTTTAAAAGCCTAATATAGTTGAATAAGTAAAAGCTGATTCTTCAAGGAATTACTTCTTAGTTATTCTGAAAAACATGTATCTGTTTCCATGGAAGACCTCTCCAGCACTTGGAAATTTCAACACGGAGGGCATTTATGGCCATTGGAGAAACACCATCTAAGGCATCTTCAAAATGGAGCCAAGTCCACCATGGCTTTTCATTTAAACATTCACTTTTTATCTTGGAGCTTGTCTTACAATCTCGGGGCAGTTATTTTTAAAACAAATGAAAGCCAGGCAGCCTGAGGATGCCAGGGCAGGTTGTATGTCCTTCTCAGGAATGTGTAGCTAGAAGCAGGGGGCCCCCTTGCCACTCCGGCAACCGGAAGTACAGCCCTCCCGCCCTCCATTTCCTAAGTCCACGTCCTGGTCCTTTTCTGACGCATGGGCCCAGGCCCCAGTGTTCATGGAGCTGAGGGTGCCGTGTGCGTGTAAAGCTAAGATGCCATTCACGGGCTGTCTCTCTATTCTGCTGGCTTCTCCATCCACGTTCTGTAATGTCCATCTTGTTTCTCACTGTGTTTTTATTTCTGTTCCCTAAACTCCCCTGCAGCCTCATTCAGTACTGGTATGTCCTTGGGCCATGTGGACAAGTGCGTGCTTAGATTTGGAAAGCTTTTCACTCTGTTCTGGGCTTTGCCTGCTCCATGTTTGCTGAGTTTCTCTTCCCTCCCCTTTGAAATAGTGTTAGACATTATCTTCTGTGTCCACGACATATAAATCAGATTTGTGACCAGGAGGGCTACATATATTAAGTCTCTTTGAAAGGAATCTTTGCTGTTCTGCCATAGAAATGATTTGCTCTGATGCAAATATTTGACACTTGCTGAAGAAAACTATAATGCTTATTGAAACTTGAGACAAGAACCAGCAATCCTGAAACTCTGTCATGACATTCTAGATGCTGCCAACTTTAAGGTCCCCTCAAAATATTCATTTATATTTTGGAATGTAAGCACTTAGAATCCAGAAAACCAGGCAACACTCCAGCAGGTGCCCCCAGCAGACACATGCTCCGCCATTTTGATTTACTAGTCTTGGGATTTGTCACTTGGGCTCTCGGGGTACCAGAAAGAAGATTGAAAGCAAGGACAGAGCATTTGAATATATTAAGCACAGTAAGAATCCTGCAATTGATTGATCTCCCATGACTGAAAAATCGGCTTATGAAGCTGATATGGAAAGAGCTAAAAATGAAGGCTAAGAAATGTATATATGCGGTAGCTTCTCAGCACAGTAGCTAAGATCACTAACAACTGAGAGTCAACCAATACAAGGAAGGACTTACTTAAGGAACAAAATGGCTATGAATGTGATAGATACAATATTCTATGACATATACACTATTATCTGTAAACAGTGTCTACATTTCCAAGCTGATAATGATAATGATGATGGTAATATCTTCCGTATATGATCTTTCATCTGACATCATATATATTATTTTGCCTAAGTAATGCACTAAGTGTAAAAATAAGGTCTTAGGGCCCTCCTCAGTTATTTCCTTCTAGAATGGAATTAAAGTTTTATCACTTCAAGATAGGGTGTTTAAGTTAGAAAAAGGAAAAAAGACTCATCTTGAGAATTTTGCTTTTTCTTTTAAAATGCCAAAAAATGGGGGAAAAAAAATGGGAGCACCTGGGTGGCTCAGTTGGTTAAGTGTCCAACTCTTAATTTCAGCTCAGGTCTTGATCTCAGGGTCGTGAGTTCAAGCCCCATGTTGGGCTCCACACTGGACACAGAGCCTACTTTAAAAAAAAAAATGCCAAAAATGTTTAATGCCTTTGGTATTTCAAGGGCTAAGAATTTGGTAACTAGCAACAGTACTCTGAGACCTTGTTCCCAATGAGCCATTGTGACATGTGGAAATCATATTGTGCAGAATCCCTTAGACGGGTGCACTGTTGAGTCTCTCTTTGCCTAGTGCTTTAAAATGTTTTGTAGGAGGTTTTAATTGATTCTAGCATTAAATCTGTTTATAAGGACTTGAACATAGTAGTGAGGTTTTTTGGTTTTTTTTAAAGCAACTAGAAAAATCAATGGTTGCCGAAATAGGCAGCCAAATAAAGAACTAGGCCCAACAAGAAACAGCATTCAGCCAGAATTCACCCATCAGGAATTCAGACACTCACTCCCCAGCCTTTAAGAATCATCACCCATATCTGAGAAGCGATGGGCTCCTACTGCCACTTGCCAGTAGAGCATCTCCATGATAGATTTTTAATACTTGGGCAAATGCTAATTCTAATAACCTTAAACCTTTGCCTCCCATCTATGCCGATATTTTTGTGTGTGCATGTCACTGGCTAATCATCATCAAAACAAATTTAATGGAGTTTCATCCAATTGGATATTGTCACCAAATGTGAGAACATTTCCCTGAGATGTCTGATGTTCTTCTACACGTGCAGAAAGGGTAGAGTTGAAGGGCGGAGGGCAGCGTGGTTCAGAAGCAGGAACATCCAGTGCTCGGGATATGCAGAAAGAGTTTTCAAAAGACAACCTCAAATAAGGCGAGAAAGCTGTCTTTCTAGACCTTGTTTTGAGAATAGCTCACAAGAAGTATTCTGTTTTTCAATTATGGATCACTTAAGTTCTTATGTTTACAGGAGTGAAGCATTCCTCTGAAGTGAAATAGTTAAGTTGGGGTTATTGAGGATCTAGTGGGAAAGTGCTAAAAAGGAGATGCCATTGTGACCCTGTTGCTCAATACTAGCATCTGTCTGCCTTTATTCAAGAGCAAGGTGAAGGTTAATCCTGCAGTGGTCCTTACTAAATTCGGCCATTAATAGCTCAAGAATTCACAAGTAGGCTATTTTCAGTCATTCATTTGCAGACGTTTATAAGGCACCTGGTCTTGGCCAGGCACTGTGCTGAGCACAGAAAGATGAATGAGACCTAGTTCTAATTCAGTCTTAGATTTAAAACAGGATTTACTTCTACATGTAAACCACGTTCTTCCTTCCCCTGCTTGCCTCTACCTGTGTCTTTTCATTTTTTCCAGATGTGAGCTAGTTATTTTTCACTAGAAGAGTGATAATAAATGAAATAACCTTTTTAAAAAAATTAACCTTTTAATAGATCAGCAGCTTGGGGCGAAGCATCATAAATTTTTAGAGGCTAATATCTGATTTAAATAGCAAAGTCTCCATAATAATGTATTGGAAGCTAGACGTGAAACTGACTCTTGAGGAAAAAAAGAAAAGCTTCAGAACACGATAACCAAAAACCTGGAATCTAAATTGAAGTCAATAACAAATTCAAATCTCATTTGGAAGATCTTACTGCCCATTCAGTATAGATGCGTGCTCTGGTTAACCTAGAAATTAAAACTGTAGTAAGCGTGTTATTTTAAAACTCCAGCAATTGATATCTTTTATACTTTGTGGGCCAGATTTAGAACAGCTTGCCTTATTTGAAGAAATCAGCTCGTGCTCTGTTTTCTGAAGATCTATGATTTATTTCACATTGTTAGCATTAATTGGTAGATAAATTACACTTTATGAAAACTTACAACTTTTGTGCTTCAAAGGGCACTATCAAGATAGCGAAAGGCAACCCACGGAATGAGAGGAAGTGTTTGCAAGTCATCTATCTATCTGATAAGGGACTTGTATCCAGAATATATAAAGAAGTCTCACAACTCAGGAACAAAAGTAATCGCATTATAGTTCATTAACTTTTGATAGTCCCCTACACCTTCTGGTGTATTCTTGGGGCAGATGTTTTCTCAGACATGAGGTAGGAGGATACTTTAGGGCAATAGCTGATCTCTGACAGCCCAACACAGGCCTCAGTTCATCCTGGTTGGAAGGGAGTGACATTGGCCTTGGTGGTGCTCAAGGCCAAGTGCCAGCTAGCTTCTCTAGCCCCTTCCCTGTTCTCTCCTCCAAGAACACCGTGCAATCCAGCCACAGTGGCCAGGGCTGTTGTTCCTACACATCATGGGCTTTCATTCCTCAGGACGTGCAAGCCCCCTAGAGTCTAGGCCTGCTCACCCCTAGGCCCACCCACCCACCTGGTATATTTACGCCTTGATGCCCTGCTCAGTCTAACCTCTTAGCTCTCTGCAAGAATTGATGGCACCCCCGCCTGAGCAAGCATGCGCATATCATAGTCTGTCTCCTTAGGTAGCTTCTGAGACCCACCCCCCTCACAGGCGGGCATGACATCTCATTCATCTCCCTGTCCTCAGTCAGAGCTCAGTGCACAGCCATGGTAGATGTCCAGATTTATTTCACAGATGGAATTGTTGGACTGGGTGGAGCCTCAGTGGAGCCTTGGAAGAGGCAGGTGGAGAGAGGTCCCAAAGTCCCTGGGAGAAAGGGTTCTGACTCTACCGGGTATATTGTGCAGTGAGGAAGCAGAAGCATTTGCTTCAAGTGCAGGCACTTTGCATCGCTAAGGGGAGGAACTGGGTGATCTCACAGGCTCCCAGACATAGCCTTCCATTCAGAGAAATCTGCTCCAGCCTCTGCCATCGTGCCCGGAAGTGACTGTATTTGGGCTTGCATATCCCGCCCCTTCACATGCTTGGGATTTAATCATCTGACACCTGACCCTGAATCATTAGCAAGTGACCTTCCATGACTCTTAATGTACTTTCCATCTAATCAGTTTGCTGCCCGCTCACAGCCTTCAACCGCATGCCATTGGAATGACTCCTCCTACCGCTAGCTGCTTTTAACCCAGTTCCACGCAAACTCTAGGCTCTCCTGTGGAAAACTAAACCTTCTATCACCTTGTGAGCCAAGTTGATGAATTGAGTTTGTTTCTTTTGTTTCTCCTTTTGGATGTACCTCCTTCCGGTTTGTTTTGAATTTTTATTATGCTTGCTTTGTTTTCTTTATTGCTGTCCCTTCTCTTATTTTGTTTTCTCCATTCTTCTCATTGGAGGCAATGAGCCGTCCAGCGGCCGGAACTCCCCTCTCCCTTACCGGCCAGACAGTCGTCCTCTCACTCCAACCTATGCCCAGGCCCCTAAACATTTCCATGTTCCAGGTAGGAGCTGACACGGTCTTTGTCTGGGTGTCCTGTCACGGTGTAGAATGTAGCGCTGTTACCTGTCTCGTCTCATTGCTCACGCTCTCTTCATCGGGATGCACACAGTCGACAAACCCTAAATTGCACGATCTGACCCAGAGGGCCTTTCAGAAGTTTGGGATGTGAAATGCCAAGGATTGTATGGAAGGTTTAAGTTTTCTCAAAATTTTTTGAAGGGGGATGGGAAGCAGAGAGTGAAGGAAGGAGGGTTGAGTTGCTTTGTTTTGTTTTTGCTAAGATGTCAGTTTTACCTGTATATGAGTGCCCTTTGAAGTTATCACTCTGTGGTTTGGTGTCATTGACTAATTATCACAATGACAATCTACTTATCTTCTCATCCTCGAGAATGAACCACAGCATCACTCAAGAGTACTTTTATTTTTTTTTTCCTGTGTGTCTCCAGCGTGGAGATTCTTTCTATGGACTTTTCAGAGAAGTATAAAATTGGACCAATTGGTTGGTCCTTCTGCAATGTATAACCAACTGACTACCTTCTTAGCCCACAAAGATATCTTGCAATTTAGGCTTGGTGCTGTAAGCTTTGCTGAAGTCATAAGCATTTGCTGTCACAGTACAAATAGTAATTTGCCATCAAGAACTGGAAAACTCAGAACCCATCAATATTTTAATGTTTAGGTCAACTCAATTTTTAAGGGCAAGATTGGCTATCAGAGGTCACGATATTTTTTTTTTCCATCGGAAGTACATTGTTTTGTTTCTTTTAAGCTCCTGAAAGTGGTTTAATAAATTACCTATTATTAGGACACATATTTGGAATCTGTAATAGTTTTTTTCTTTTGCATTCCAAACTTACCTAATAAAACAGAGGAAAGTTCAGTGAGATTCATACCGCTAAGATAGAACTGCCTTTTCAAATAAAGCTTCACTGAACCTTGAAAATCAGTGTTGTACATTTGCAACCTTTTTGCGTGAAGAATGCCCCCACCAAGATACGGTGCCCAAGACTGGGGGGGAACAGACCTTTTGAAATTTCCTGAGTATCTGCAGTCAAAGCAAAACTGTAGCATTATCAAATGGGGTCCTGTATAAATAAATGAGTAACATTCAGCATCGCTTTTCCTTTTTTTTTTTTAAATAAATTTGACCTATACAAGTTAGGATCCTCTCAAACATTCTGTCAGCACATCAGACAAGCCTTGCACATAAAAACTGTTTCTATGTTTTAAAAGACTACTCTTAATTATATTACATTGCTTTCCACTGTTCCACTCATTAGTTGAAAAGAAACTGAGCCCCTGGTATCTACTGCGAGCTCAATTTCTAGACAGTAGCAATTTGGGGACCTTCCCCAAACTGGTTATGTCTTCCTCACCACTAGAGTCCCGTCCCTCCACTGCTTCCATTTCTTCCTGTTTTGATCCCACTTTTAGTGAAGTACGTATTTGCAATAAATGGCTCATGAATTAGTTACATCTCTCTATATCCTAAGATGTATTACAAAGGATTCCATATCACTTGTCTGTAGTAATTCACTCATTCCTGGAACAACTTCTTCCCGTAATTTCAATCTTTGTAATACAAAAGTTAACCTTCCGGGTTGTTTTTGTTCAAGAGTCTTCAGTTTGGTTTGCCTCTCGGTTGATCTGTTTTTCCCATCGCTGAACTGGTTCCCATAATCACACACCTTTGCTTTTCATTTCCACAGATCAAGGGATCAACATTTACCGAAAACCACCCATCTACAAACAGCATGGTAAAACCCACTTTCCTCCGCGTAGCTTTTAAGTAGCAGCGCCCGCCGAACTCTTTGCTGTCCTCTGAAAGGCTTTTCTGCTGCTGCTTTTGAGAATCAAACTGGGGCGCCCAGCGTATTATGCCTTTATGGGTTCCTAAGATGAATTATTGTGAGATTGGTTTTCCTAGAGAGAGAACGCTTAGCTTGGTTAGGAAGCTCCCAGTAATTCACACTTTTTTTTTTTTAGCATCAAATAATTTAACCAGCCTCTATAATAATTTGGATGAGCTTCTAATTAGTTTAATTAAATTCATGAAGGCCCGCTACCTAGAAAAATTAACTGGACTAAACCTACATCAACGCGACTGTCCAATTCCCCAGTTTCTTATGGGCATGCCGATGTCTGTGCCTTGCGGTGGAATGGACAGGACACACTCCAAGTCCCAGCCCTGGTCCCCGGCCTTTCCCTCGATGGTTCTGTGATATCATGGACACAGTTTCTCTGTCCCTCAGTTTTCTCATAGGCAACAACCAGTGAGTTAGGCCAGCTTGTCTCTGAAATCCCTGCAAACTAAAATCCCTAACATGGATTTATAATTGTGTTTTCCTTTTCTGGAAATACAGCATTTTTGAACCCAGGAAATCACATTACCATAGGTAAATCACATTTCCCTCCACCATTTTTAGGTCTTTATAAATTAGGTACTGTAAATCTCTGTGAATGGATAGAAAGTCAATACTTGTCTTCAGGTGATTTCAGAAAATCATACACAAAATGTGCCTGGAAATTTGAAGGCTGCCTTTAAAAAATCTAGTTGACGTTAATGAGTCCTTAAGGGTTAGGATGACATCAAAAGCAAAGAAAGTTGAAAATGCGCAAGGAAAAAAATCTAGGCCAATATTCTAGGGGAAAAAAAGACAATGTACATATTGTAATGGTTCTAGAACTATGATTTCTTTTTTTTTTCTTTTTTAAGATTTTACACCATGTGCTTGCTTTTTTTAAGTTTGTTAACATTGTTTTTGTTTGTTTTTTTATGGTTTAATGTCTTCTCACCCACTCATTAACATGTGAATGTTTACTGACTTCACCAATTCTAATGCGTAAGTACTGCTTGAAGTCATGCTTTTTTTTTTTCTAAATTTAGGAATGAGACTCCAAGAGTTTGGTTTATCAATGTAGAAACTGTTTTTATTACTAAAATCTCTAAGGCCCTGCCTCTCTAAGCAAAAGTAATCAGATAATTAAGATTTAAAGAGAGTAGATCGTGTTAGCTTATTTATTTGAAAGAGACTGGCTTTTTTTCCTGAAATGCTCTCTGACTTGACTCTTTGTCATCATTAAGAGTAGCTCAGTCAGAGTGTCTTCCCAAAGGTCATTGTGCAAAAGAGCAGTTCCATGGGATAGAATAAGACGGCATGCCAAAAAAACGGGTGTCTGGGCCCCGAAGCATTTGGAAAATGCTAGATTTAAATAAAGTCACACTTTTTTTTTTTTTGTAATGCAGAACGTCTCCGTCTTTCATATGCTAACCCATGTTGTCCTTCTTTAAGAAGAGGATGTCCTTGGGAGTGTTTTCCAGGCTGAATGTTTAATTTTTTTCTCATGAGGTTAAGGAGAAACACTACTCCATGCTTGGCCAAGACTTCACCCCTTATGAGTCTATAGGATGACCTTGGTCAAGTCGCTTCAGGAAACAGAACTACAAGAATGGGGAATTCGAGCTGAGGATTCAAAAAAATTATTTCCAGATTTTTAAATATGTGAGCCCAGGGAGCGGGGAGAGTTTTATTTAAAGCATTCTAACTCTATTTTGAAATGTTTAGTAACATCCCAGGCCAGTCTACGAAATTAGCCAGAAATCAGGGTCTGACCATTAAACCTGGTTTGTTTTATTCCAGCTCTGTGATTAGATTTGGAACTCTAAGCCAGGGACTCCTCTAAGCAGATCCATCAAGAACCCTGTGAACTAAGGTCCTTGCTAGTCTGGCTTTTGTTGTTTTAAAGTTGGATGACTCACTTGTATGTGCAGACCCTTGAGGAAAATAAGGAGTGTTTTGCATATATAAGGCGCCATGTTGAATTCCTACAAGCTGAGCGCGGATTTTCCCATTGCCATATCTCCTAGGACTCAAGACACATATATAATATGTAAGGATTAGAATGAACTAGACAGATGATGGCTAAAATGAACAAACACAAATACACAAAAAGACAAAGCCAGACCTCTTCTGACTAACAACTACAGTCAAATGACAATGTCATGTTTTGAACTTAGTTCTTTAATTTCAAATTGCTGATTCAAATTTCTAATTACTCTTGAAGAGTATTATCTGATGGAACTTTCTGTGATGATGGAAATGGTCTACCTTGGTGCTTCCAGTATGGTAGCCATGAATCACAGGTGGCTATTCAGCACTTAAAATGTAGCTAGTGCAACCAAAGGACGGAAGTTTAATTTTACTCATTTGTTGGTTTCATTTAATTTAATTAATTGAAATTTAAGTAGCCATGTGTCACGAGAGCTAGTATTGGACAGCCCAGGTCCGGAACAAGGCATTTCAGATATCGAATGAAGTTTTGATTCCTGCAGAACATAAAGAAAATGAGTTGTCACTAGGCACCACTGAGTGGCTAGGCAGTTGATACTGGTCATAAACAGCTTTCTGGAGTTGAAATTTTTGCCAAAAAACAAGAAAACTGTGTAAGTGGGTTGTACCACCATGGCCTTACAGACGGATAGCTAAGCTCCCCCTGATTCCCATCTAGATGCAGCTGCCTTGGCAGCCCAGAGCAAGTCTTCAGAAGATATCATCAAGTTTTCCAAGTTCCCAGCAGCCCAGGCTCCAGACCCCAGCGAGATACCAAAGATTGAGACGGACCACTGGCCTGGTCCCCCCTCACTTGCCGCCGTAGGTATGCAACTGCTACAGCTAAGCCCCATGGACAAATTGGTAGGAGATTGCAAAATGAAATGCTTTCCAAATATGCAAGAAAATGTGTCCTATTGTAAAGACTTTTAAGAAAATATGACGAGAGGCAGAGAAAAGCACTGAGGTAGTAGTCATATATGTGCAAAATGCTTCAAAATTACAAAAACCCAATCATCAGAGCCTTGCTCTAACCAACCCACTAAGAGGCAGACAGAACTGGTCTAAAACGGATGGTTGGCATGGACTCTCAAGAGTTATTACTGCAAAATCAGTAACTCTTGAAGCCGTTGAACCAAAGCCTCCTGCCAAGAACATTGTTCTAATTAGAGTCTGGTGGGTGGATTTACTGAGTGTCCACAGAGGCGTGACTTCTTTCAGTTATTAGACTACTTATGGGTTGTAATTACAATTCTCTTAACAAAGAAGCCCTTACACCTTTCTTGCGAGATCACGTTCTCCATCACTAAGAAGGGCTGACACAGAGTCACAGATGCTCTGAAATACTACTCGTGTGAAGCTATTTGATTTTCCACCTATCATTTCCATGACGTCTGTGCTAAAATGTCACATTTGAGCTCTTTCATTCTTTGCTTTGAACCACAGATCTATGCTTTAGGACCATGCCTGTGTTTTTACTGTTTTGTCAGTTGTGAAATCATTTGGCCTAAAAAGTCATATTAGCAAACTCAGAAGCTAATACTGAAAATTGAGTGAGTCAGCTTTACAAAGATATAACTATCTCATCACATTTCTGTTGACAACCTTTTAAAAAAAGGCCTTCAATTTTCCAAATTTCCACATTTTCTTCATCATGCTTTTTCTCATCAAGTTATTTTCTGGAATAACTTTCACAAACAATGTAAGTGGATTTTAAAGCAATCTGTGTTTATCCAAATACTTGAAGGAAAATCTACTTCCCTGGGTTTATGATTCGCAAGTACTCTATCTATTGTGTTGCCTTAAGATTTATCTGATTCTTGTAAACTTGTGTCTTTTAGTTTTTATTAGTGGAGATTGAAGAGAGAGCGTTCACAGTGACATTTATGATTTTAGGAACCAAGAATCAATCATCAGCTTTTCTCGGCCATACTATGCCCCACAGGCAGTTCCTGGAGCCTTTGGGGTTCCTAGTTCAGTCTTGCTGCTTCAAGGGGGCATAAACAGCTAAATTTAGGGGAAAGGTAGAATTAATATTTTGTTGTTAAAATCATCATCGCTAAATGGTTTAAAGCTTTTTGGGTTCCAAAATGAAGAAAAATTCTGGCCCATTAATCAAAATGATAAAAACTGAGGCCATTAGTTCAAGTTTATTTTGATTAGATTAGCAAGCTTTCCTGTTTCCTCCCACAGCCAGATTAATCCAAGCAATTTAGGAAAACAATAATTATCTTAATTTTACAACCATTCAGACAGATTCCTCCCTTTCACTCCCTGACTCCCCTTTTCCCAGAAGCTTAAAAACTATAAACGATCTGCTAGATTGGACTAAACTCACTTTTTAAGGGTCTTAACACTATTCATTGGCCCATCAGTATAAAACTCTTTTGTGACCATTTTTTCAAAGGACTGAGGGAAAGAAACATTAGAGACTTGTCTCTTAAAATAAAAATAAAAGCATGCTTCTTAACCAATTTATTAAGGGCAGAAGATAGGGTGACCGTTATGAGGACAAGTCTAAATATTCAGAAAAAGAGAAAACTAGAAGATTGCAAAACTTGTCACAAGAGAGTGACTGTCTTACCTGTTCAATGGTCATGTACATGAATTTGGGTTCCTCCCTGTTTGAAAGCTGACCTCAGTCAGGGACATCCAAAGAATAACTCTAGACGCCCCTCCCCGAAACGACAGAGGGCTCTGGCCAGTGGCCTGTGGGATGACTTAGACCCAATCATAACAGCTCATGGAGTCCTAATTGAGCAGATCAGTTGTTAGGAGGCCAAAATTCATGACTTACTGGATTCCACATTGAATTGGCCTGAAACCCGAAACCCACCAGTAGGGCTGAATTGGTGGTAGACTCTTTTTGCCTCGCGGTGTTCACGAATGTTGAAGACCACTGCTGATTTTGCCAGCTGGCCAAGTTGAGCACAGGTGGACTAGTCCCATAAGATCCCCTTGCCGTGGGGCTAACGTGAGAAGTTGTCTTTGCTGTGGAATTAGGAGCCGACATGAGACGCAGATCTAGTGGCAGAGAGGAAGATGAGGAGGAGCTTCTGAGGCGCCGGCAGCTGCAAGAAGAGCAATTAATGAAGGTTTGTCCTTAAACTACTTTGCTGCAGTCTTCAGTTCAGTTCCCTAGATCTGGATTTTTTGGATGGATAACATGGGCAAACCACCAAGTGAATGAGAGGCCATCCCAGCCCTCGAAGGGCTAGAAATCCAGTAGGCGAGAGAAGACAGGCCTCTAGTGACCCGAAAGCAGGGTACTGAGTACTTAGTAGGTTCCAGAAGAGATGGCCTGGAAGCTGGAGGTCAGAGGGACATGGAATGTTCGAGCTTCTGCAAGGAGAGCCAGACCGCGTGGGGTATGTGTGTGCAGCGCATGTGTCAAAAGGACCAGGTGGAGCCAAGCTGTTCACCCACATGGTGCGACACCTGCCTTCCCTCGTGCAGGGTCTGCTGAAGGAATTCCCTTGGGATTATTTCTCCAAGGCTTTCCTGAGGACTTGTAGGACCTTGTGTGTCTATCTGAGCTAGGATGGAGGGGATAAAATGGACTTCCACCAAGACGTCCTCATTATACCCACCCCACCCCACCCTCGTCACAGCATCCCAGAAGACGGAAAGAAGGATAGTCCATTATAGCCTGGGGTAGAGGGAGCCAGGACATTATATACTCTCCCACCAATAAGGGACTGATGAATCCCTTCACATGACATTTTCCAAAGCTACTTAATCATATGGGAAATGCACATGATACTAGTTATATGGAGGGAGAGGATACAAAGTTGCATTTATAGCATGATCCCAGTTTTGTGTGATATGTGCAGAGAAAAATGCTGGATGGATATAAATCAAAATGTAAATGGTGGTTATCTCTGAGGGGTGGATTACAGGTTAGTCTTCTTTCCTTCTAGATTTTCTAAAATCTGTGCAATGAGCATGTGTTACCCTTGTTTTCTTGTTTTTAAACAAATCAGTCTAATTTCTTTTTAAAGGATACTATCCCCAAACTCCCCTTTGCACATCACAAGTCTCCACACAGTTACACATGCCTCCTGTGGTCACCTGCTGGCATGTTGGGGAGGGCAAAGGAGGGAGAACATTTTTCTGACATGGAGCTTGGCCCATGCTTGGCTGAGAGGGGTTCAAGGTCCAAAACCTGGCCTATCCCTTGAGGAACCCCCAGCCTCTGGCACCAAATGCATCCAAGCCACTCCACGGTCAGGAACTTTTTGCAGGACCTTCTAAAACAGAGACTGCCATTCTGATGATAGTTGTGAGCTTCACTGTCATCTTTCTTTTCTTGGTGATAGCTCAACTCAGGCCTGGGGCAGCTGATACTGAAAGAGGAGATGGAGAAGGAGAGCCGGGAGAGGTCGTCCCTGACAGCCAGTCGCTATGATTCTCCCATCAACTCAGGTGAGCAGCAGACCCACCACATTTTCCCAGCCGAGAGCCAGCCACCGGCCTGCAGGGAGTCCATCTGGACTGTTCCAGGAGAGGCGGGGCCATTTCTGGTGGAACCTACAGAGTGTTCCACATGAGCAGAAGTATGAGAAACACACTGCCTGCCAACTTAGCTAGGATGCCATAGTTCTTCCTTAAATGTATATTTTCTTCATGTTGGAGATGGGGGGGCCCTTGGAGGATTTTAGTGCTTACTACATGCAAGCACTTTTGCTAGACATTGTTCCATTTATTTTCACAACATGCCAATGAAGTAGGTGATATTATTCCCATTTTGTAGATCAGGAGACAGGTATAGGAAGTGTAAGTAACTTACCCAATGTCACATTATTAATAACTAGCAAAACTAGGATTCAGGAGTCGAAACATTATAACCACAGAGCCCACATGCTGAACTGGAATGCCTTGCGACCTCTCCTTGATGCCCCACTGGCGCTGATCTTGGATTGGTGGTTTACTCATCTTTAGAGTTCCTTCTGATCCTGTAGTTGTGTTTTATAAGAATATATAGTACAGTATCCACATGAGTCAAGAAACAAAGACTTACAAAGATGAAATACCATGCCAAGATGTTAAGCTGTGGAGCCAGAATCCAAGCCCAGGTCTGCTTCCCCCAAAGCTCCACAGTTTATGTGATGTCATGCTGTTCATTAATGGGATATCCTATCCCATGCCTCTCAGGAACTCTACTGTGGTGAGCCAGGAGAGCATGACAGCATACATGGTTGGCTTTCAGGTCAGTTATTGCCACTATACCAATTGGAGCATGAGCTTATGCATCCACATGGCCCTGGGTTCCAATCATTGCTTAGCTATTTATAAGGTGAGTGACCTTGGACAAGATACTTAACTTCTGTTAGCCCCTATTTCTTCTCCTGTAAAATGGAAATAATATAATAGTGCTGTTAGGGTTGTATTGAGGATTTGGAGGTAAAGAAGTGCCAAGCACCTCTCCCTTCTCCACTCACTCACTGCATCACCCAAATATGGTGGTGGCCTTTCATGAACATTTGAGCCCAATATTTTTTGGGTTTATTTTTCTATCTTTCTATGTATCTTCTATTCAGTAAGGTAGAAGATGCACTGCCAGTTTCATTAGAGAATTGGGCTTCTGGGGGCACCTGGCTGGCTCAGTTGGCAGAGCATGCGACTCTTGATCTTGGGGTCATGAGTTTGAGCTCCACGTTGGGGGTAGAGTTTACTTTAAAAAAAAAAAAAGAAGCTATTAAGAATTGGACTTCTGATTTCCTTTTTTTACCTTTTCTCATTCAGCTTCACATGTTCTATCATCTAAAACCTCATCTCTCCCAGGCTATGGAAAAAATGGGCTTCATCGGGTAAGATTTCTCAGTTAATTGTTCCTGAGTTGATTCCCTCTTCAGTCCTGGTTGAAATGCTGATATACTATCTGAATATGTCTGATAATATGATCTCAGTATTAGAATATAATGAAAATTGTAATTCCCCTGATCTGGTGAGTCACTTTGAGTTACAGGCAAAATAAAATATTTCTATTGAGAGAGAAATTGACTTTAGATGAAAGAATAGCCTGTATCAGCTTGTGGGAAGACTACATTAGTTAATTGTGCGGCAAATATTTCCACACTCAAGCTACAAGTAATGACTTGAGCCCTCATCTCTGCTGTAAAAAGATCGGGAACGTTTATGGCTATCACCCTCCCCAGAAACCGTAGAACAAATGCAATTGCATGGCTAGCTGCATGGAAAAATGTATTTTTATTTATTGGCAAAAGATAACTTGCTTACCCAGCACCTGCTGGCATTGGGTGCACTGCAAAAGACAAAGAGGTTTCACAGTAGTAGAAGACAAATAAGGAAGGTCCAGGAATTCAGCTTGGGAAGAATTCTGAGGATTTTGTAAATCCTTTCTTCCTTTTCACATGACTCCAAAACCATCACTCTGGAGTAGATTGTCTAATGATGTGTTCTTTCTCGTTTCAGCCTGTTTCCACAGACTTCGCTCAGTATAACAGCTACGGGGACGTCAGTGGGGGAGTGCGAGGTAAGGCCCGTGTGCCTGGGCTGCGGACTGACTGGCTGAGATTGAGATGAGACTGCACGGTCACATCTACCTTGACTGGGTTCATACTGTCTGACATCTGAAAGCCAGATCACGGCTAGCCTCTGTGAGCTAGTGGAGCATGCATTAAAATCTCAAAGCAGGAGATAGTCCAAGATGGTGGAGGAGTAGGAGACCTTAGTTTTGTCAGGTCACAGGAATTCAGCTAGATAGCTATCAAATCAGTCTGAACACCTGCGAACTCAACCTGAGAGCTAAGAAAATAAGATCTGCAACTCTACAGATAGAAAAGTGACCACTTTCTGCAAGAATGACAAGACAGAAAAACTCACCTCAGAGAAGAGAACAAGAGGCAATACTGACTGCCAGTGACCTAATCAGTATGGATATAAGTAAGATGTCAGAACTGGAGTTCAGAATAATGATTATAAAGATACTAGCTGGGTTTGGAAAAAGTATAGAAGACACTAGAGAATCCCTTTTGGAGAAATAACAGAACTAAAATCTAATCAAGTTGAAATAAAAAAGGCTATCAATGATATGCAATAAAAAATGGAGGTTCTAACAGCTAGGATAAATGAAGCAGAAGAGAGAATTAGTAATATAGAAGACCAAGTGAAGGAGAATTAAGAATCTGAGAAAAAGAGATAACTACTGGATCATGAGGGGAGAACTGGAGAGATAAGTGATACCATAGAGCAAAACAATATTAGAATAATTGGGATCTTAGAAGAGGAAGGAGAGAGGGGGGCAGAATATATATTGGAGCAAATTATAGCAGAGAACTTCCCTAATCTGGGGAAGGAAGCAGGAATTCAAGTCCAGGAAGCACAGAGAACCCCTTCAAAATCAATAAAAATAGGTCAACACCATGACATATAACAGTGAAACTTGGAAATCTCAGAAACAAAGAAAATCCTGAAAGCTGCTCAGGACAGTAGGTCCATAACCTACAAGGGTAGAAACATTAGACTAGCAGAAGACCTATCCACAGAGACCTGGCAGGCCAGAAAGGACTGGCATGATATATTCAGGGTGCTAAATGAGAAAACTATGCAGCCGAGAATACTTTATCCAGCAAGGCTGTCATTCAAAATAGAAGGAGAGAGAAAAAAAAGCTTCCAGGACGAACAGAAACTAAAAGAATCTGTGATCTCTAAACCAGCCCTGCAAGAAATATTAAAGAGGATTCTTTAAGTGAAGAGAGAGCCCAAAAGTAACATAGACCAGAAACAAACAAGACAATATACAGAAACAGTGACTTTACAAGGAATACAATGGCACTAAATTCATATCTTTTAATAGTTACACTGAATATAAAAGGGCTAAATGCCCCAATCAAAAGACACAGTGTATCAGACTAGAAAAAAAGCAAGACCCTTCAATATGCTGTCTGCAAAAGACTCATTTTAAACCCAAAGACACCTCCAGATTGAAAGTGAGGGGGTGGAAAACCATTTATCATGCTAATGGACATCAAAAGAAAGCTGGGGTAGTAATCCTTATATCAAACAAATTAGATGTTAAACCAAAAACTACAATAAAAGATGAGGAAGGACAGTATATCATAATTAAAGAGTCTATCCAAAAGGAAGATCTAACAGTTGTAAATATGTATGCCCCTAAAATGGGAGCAGCCAATTATATAAACCAACTAATAACACAATTAAACACATTGATAATAATACAATAATAATAGGGGATTTTAACACCCCACTCACTGCAATGGACAGATCATCTAAGCAGAAGATCAACAAGGAAACAAGGGCTTTGAATGACACACTGGACCAGATGGATTTCACAGATATATTCAGAGCATTCCATCCTAAAGCAACAGAATACACATTGTTTTCGAGTGCACATGGAACATTCTCCAGAATAGATCACATACTGGGTCACAAGTCAGGTCTTAACTGGTACCAAAAGACTGGGATCATTCCCTGCATATTTTCAGACCACAATGCTTTGAAACTTGAACTCAATCACAAGATGAAATTTGGAAAGAACTCAAATACGTGGAGGTTAAAGGGCATCCTACTAAAGAATGAATGGGTCAACCAGGAAATTAAAGAAGAATTAAAAAAATTCATAGAAACCAATGAAAATGAAAACACACTGTTCAAAACCTTTGGGATGCAGCAAAGGCAGTCCTCAGAGGGAAGTATATAGGAATACAAGCCTTTCTCAAGGGTTCAAATATACAGCCTAAACTTACACCTAAAGGAGCTGGAGAAAGAACAGCAAATAAAACCTAAATCCAGCAGGAGAAGAGAATTACTAAAGATTAGAGCAGAAATCAATGAAATAGAAACCAAAGAACAGTAGAACAGATCAACGAAACTAGGAGCTGGTTCTTTGAAAGAATTAATGAGATTGATAAACCCCTGGCCAGACTTATCAAAAAGAAAAGAGAAAGGACCCCAAAAAATAAAATCATGAATGGAAGAGGAGAGATCACAACCAACACTGAAGAAATACAAACAATTATGAGAACATATTAGCAACTATATGCCAACAAATTAGGGCAATCTGGAAGAAATGGATGCATTCTTAGAGATGTATAAACTACCAAAACTGAACCAGGAAGAAATAAAGACCTGAACAGACCTGTAACCAGCAAGGAAATTGAAGCAGTAATCAAAAATCTCCCAACAAACAAGAGTCCAGGACCAGATGGCTTCCCAGGAGAATTCTACCAAACATTTAAAGAAGAATTAATACCTATTCTTCTGAAGCTGTTTGGAAAAAAATAGAAAGGGAAGGAAAACTTCCAGACTCTTTCTGTGAGGCCAGGATCACCTTGATCCCCAAACCAGACAAAGACCCTAATGAACATGGATGCAAAAATTATCACCAAGATACTAGCCAATAGGATCCAACTAGCCAATAGGATTATTCACCATGACCCAGTGGGATTTATTCCTGGGGTGCAAGGGTGGTTCAACATCCACAAATCAATCAGTGTGATACAGTACATTAATAAAAGAAAGGACAAGAACCATATGATCCTCTCAATAGATGCAGAAAAAGCATTTGACAAAGTATAGCATCCCCTTTCTTGATTAAAACTCTTCACAGTGTAAGGATAGAGGAAATATATCTCCATATCATAAAAGCCATCAGTGAAAAACCCACAGCGTGTATCATTCTCAATGGGGAAAAACTGAGAGCTTTTCCCCTAAGGTCAGGAACACGACAGGGATGTCCACTCTCACCACTGTTGTTCAACATAGTACTAGAAGTCCTAGCCTCAGCAATCAGACAACAACAACAAAAATAAATAAAAGGCATCCACATCAGCAGAGAAGAAGTCAAACTCTCACTCTTTGCAGATGACATAATATTGTATGTGGAAAACCCAAAGACTCCACCCCAAAATTGCTAGAACTCATACAGGAATTCAGCAAAGTCTCAGGATATAAAATTAATGCACAGAAATCAGTTGCATTTCTGTACACTAACAATGAGACAGAAGAAAGAGAAATTAAGGGAGTCGATCCCATGTAGAATTGCACCAGAACCATGAGATACCTAGGAATAAACCTAACCAAAGAGGCAAAGGATCCATACTCAGAAAACTATAGAATACTCATGAAAGATATTGAGGAAGACACAAACGGAAAAACATTCCATACTCATGGATTGGATGAACAAATATTGTTAAGATGTCTGTGCTACCTAGAACAATCTATACATTCAATGCAATCCCTATCAAATACCATCAACTTTTTTCACAGAGCTGGAACAAATAATCCTAAAATTTGTATGGAACCAGAAAAGACCCTGAATAGCCAAAGGAATGTTGAAAAAGAAAATCAAAGCTGGTGGCATCATAATTCCAGACTTCAAGCTCTATTACAAAACTGTAATCATCAAGAGAGTATGTACTGGCACAAAAACAGACACATAGATGAATGGAACAGAACAGACAACCCAGAAATGGATCCTCAACTCTAAGAACTATGGTCAACTAATCTTCGACACAGCAGGAAAGAATCCAATGGAAAAAGACAGTCTCTTCAACAAATGGTGTTGGGAAAATTGGACAGCCACATGCAGAAGAATGAAACTGGACCATTTTCTTAACACCATACACAAAAATAGACTCAAAATGGATGAAAGACCTATATGTGAGACAGGAATCCATCAAAATCCTAGAGGAGAACACAGCAACCTCTGTGACCTCAGCCACAGCACCTTCCTGCTAGACACGTCTCATGTGGCAAGGGAAACAGAGGCAAAAACGAACTATTGGGACTTTTATCAAGATAAAAAGCTTTTGCACAGCAAAGGAAAAAGTCAACAAAACCAGAAGGCAACAGTCAGAATGGGAGAAGATATTTGCAAATGACATATCAGATAAAGGCTAGTATCCAAAATCTATAAAGAACTCATCAAACTCAACACCCAGAGAACAAAGAATCCAATCAAGAAATGAGGAGAAGACAGAACAGACATTTCTTCAAAGAAGACATACAAATGGCCAACAGACACATGAAAAAATATTCAACATCGCTCAGCATCAGGGAAATACAAATCAAAACCTCAATGAGATACCACCTCACACCAGTCAGAATGGCTAAAATTAACAAGTCAGGAAACAACAGATGTTGGCGGGGAGGTGGAGAAAGAGGAACCCCCTTACACTGTTGGTGGGAATACAAGCTGGTGCAGCCACTCTGGAAAACAGTATGGAGGTTCCTCAAAAGTTGAAAATAAAGCTACCCTATCACCCAGCAAAGGCACTACTAGGTATTTACCCCAAAGATACAAATGTAGTGATCCTAAAGGGCACCTGCACCCCAACATTTATAGCAGCAGTGTCCACAATAGCCAAACTCTGGAAAGAGCCCAGATGTCCATTGACAGATGAATGGATAAAGAAAATGTGTAATATGTACAATGAAATAGTACTCAGCCATCCCATCAAAAAAAAAAAAAATGAAATCTTGCCATTTGCAATGATATGGATGGAATTAGAGGGTATTATGCTAAGCGAAATAAGTCAGTCAGAGAAAGACAATTTTCATATGATCTCACTGATATGTGGAATTTAAGAAACAAAACAGAGGATCATAAGGGAAGGGAGGAAAAAATAAAGATGAAATCAGAGAGGGAGACAAACCCAAGAGAGTCTTAATCATAGGAAACAAACTGAGGGTTGCTGGAGGGGAGGGCAGTGGGGGGATGGGGTAAATGGGTGATGGACATTAAGGAGGGCACGGGATGTAATGAGCACTGGGTGTTATGTAAGACTAATGAATCACTGACTTCTACTTCTGAAACTAATAATATATGTTAATTGAATTTAAATAAATTAATAAATTGTAAAAAATCACAAAGCATCTCTACTGAAATGAGACCATGAGAAGCAGGGTGTGTAAGAATGAATTCATTGCTCCTGCCACGTGCTGAGCACTCAATGAGAGAGATACCTGGTGTTACAGTGTGCTCTAAGCAAGACGTAGCCAGGCTGTCAAAAATGCACATGACTGAGTGAGAAACAGGGACAGATTGGGGTGAGGGGAGAGAAGCTTCCAACAATGCATGCTGGAATCAGAGAAGGCAGAAATACCTTCAGAGTGTCGGAGAGAGCTTCCGTGAGGAAAGGGTATTTTAACTGATCACGGCAACTGGAACAGGCCTTTCCTGGCTTCAGGGGGGCAGGGAGGTAGTGTGTACAGAAACCCCTGCAGAGAGGAGCGCAGTGCATTGGAGAATGTCTGGGGAATTGTAATAGGATATGGTATATTAATATTTCCATGTTTTTCTGTGAACTTTCCCTTCTGACATTTTCTTTTTCTTTCCTTTCTAGACTACCAGGTATGGAACACTGTCTCTCTCAAGTTGGCCACACCAGTAAAACAACCATTATCCAATGCACACACGGGTTGCTGCTCCACGGAAGGGTTTCTGTTGAGAAGATCCTTATTTGGTTTGATCTATCTGGTTCATTAGTCCATAGATGTGAGGAGCCATGAGGATCAGGCATGCCTGGTGTCAACATCAAGCTGGCTCTGTAGGCCTTGGGGATGTGGCGTGAACCAGGCTAAGTGTCAGGGTGGCTCTTGCTCTGGCCTCAGAGAGTCCGCTCTGGGGTGGAAGTATACCAGCATCACGGGCCTGCTCAAATACAGTTTTGCCTTTTATTCAGAACCGCTCAGTACTTTTGGTCCTCCCCTCCTTCCTGTGGTCCCACTGTCTTGGCCAATAGGAAGGAGCTGCTCTAGTACCATTCCCTTTTTCCTGGACCCTAAACCTTATAAAATTATGGTGGAGAATGAGAAAAGGCGAAAAAATGCAAAGAAAACGAAGAGTGAAATAACACAATCACTGACATGGCACTTTTTTGATAGATCATATACTTTCATGCATGGATCCTAAATTAGGAATTAGTCAATAGTTAGTAAGCCAGGATCTGTCCCCAACTTGATGATGAAAGAACAATATTCCCAGTATTCCTGCTTTTATGCAGCAAGGATCTCATTTTGAAAAATGTATGGTGATTAAAATGACACATCTACGAAACAGTGAGGATTTGAGACCCAAACAGGGAGTTTTGGGAGGCCACGGAGTTGCCCCCACAGCTCCCGATGCTGTCGTGTGTTCCTCCTTAAACCAACTTTTCTGTTGCAGACTCTCCCAGATGGCCACATGTCTGGGACGAGAATGGATCGAGGGGTGTCCATGCCCAACATGTTGGAACCAAAGGCAAGTGTAGCCATTCTCTCTGCTCTCACATGGGGACAGCAAACCGGGCATAATCCTGAAAAGATTTGGTTTTCTCTCTTTCCACCATTCTCAGTGTTGAGGCCTACTTGCTTCCAGGCTGATAACATTAGACAAGCCATGTCACAAAGTACCTGGACATTCACTGGTTTTGTCACGCTGAGTCAACAGGTTTAAGTCCTCACAGGGTGTGGTACTGTGTGTTCATAGTGAAGCACCAGCACACCTCTCCTATGAGCTTAGTACTCACTTGTCCCCTGCCCTAAGCACCACGAGGCATGCCCAGTGCTAAGTGGGGCAGCTGCCAACCACTCGAGATAAGAGTGACCAAGACATCCCATTTGGCTAGGACTTTCCCGGTGTTAGCACTGGAAGTCTAGCATTCCGGAACCTCCACAGTCCTGGGCAAACTGGGATGGTTAGTTACCCAAGCTCCAGACCATCCTGAAACTCCAGAGGTGTCCAAGGCTGTACTCCCCAATGACGATAACTGGGGTTTATTTCAATGTCCTCCACCAGAACTCCTGCTTCTGGGTCAGCCTGGTTCCATGAAATCGTGAGCCAGTCGTGGAACAAGATTGTTGAACCCTGCAGAGGTACCCTGGCCATATAATCCGTGTTCCTATCATTTCTAATTTTTACCTCTACCCCCAAGACATAATAAGTTTGTATTCTTTCACTCAACAAAGCCCTCCAAAGACACAGGGCTACGTGAGACATGATGAGTTGAGAAAACGTAAGAACTGGTCCCTGTCCACGAGATATATGAGGAACACCCATCACTCAGATACCATAATTATAATGTCTTAGAAGCTCTGTCTTGGGAGTACTAGATTTTAGGTAGATTCTGCTTGTTAATAAAATGGACAGCAGTGTTCTAGAAGAGGTGTTTCTCTTTGCTTCTCAGATATTTCCATATGAAATGCTGATGGTGACCAACAGAGGGCGCAACAAAATCCTAAGAGATGTGGACAGAACCAGGCTGGAGGTAAACTAACTAACCAGTCCCAACCGCAGATACCTGTGCATTTCCCCCAACTTTCCCCTAAGAAATGTTTCCATGAAGGCAAAAAAAAAAAAGAAAGAAAGAAAAGAATCAACCTCTCATGGTAGGTAGAACGAAGATAACTCGGGATTGAAAACCCAAATAATACACACTTACAAGATCAGCCTAAATGTGTGATGAAACCCAGAAGATGAGCCAGGAGACACAGTATGATTTAGTCATCTTCTGCAGAAGCCTGATGTTGCCGTAATTATGGCTGGCGTTGTAGAATGTAATCCCATCCCCCTTCAGATAGCCCAGCGCCTGGGTTGAGCTCGTTGAGAGAGGGAAGGAAGTGCTCAGTAACGAGGTTTGCCCTGGACAAGTTTCCCTCTTGGCTGTTTCCGCATTGCTTGCTGAAGGGTTATCTGGGTGTACATGCCCAAGACCTCCTTAGACACGCAAGGCTGATCATACTTTTCCACTTGAGTGATTTTAATTAAGAAAAACTCTGGCTGCCAGTCTTATAAAGAATCATTACTTTTCCCTGACAAAAGGCAGTACCTTTGTATGTGAAGTCAGTCTGGCACAGAGAATAAAGGCTCTGCTATCCTAAGGGAACTTTTTAGGAGGGACGACAGATGGAATCCATTCTCCTGGTAGACCAGGTGTCCAGCAGAACTCCTGCTGCTGAGCCAGGAGGAAGCCCCAGGGCTCCCCACATGCCACTCTGGAAGTCTCTGTCTGGCTTTCTTAGTGCTATGGTCCATTTTCCCTGCATCTTCTCAACATCCCAAGGACCTGAAGTGGAGTTGCCTCCAGCATAACGACTCACCTGCCTATGTCCTATCACCATAGAGCATATGACAATGATCTTTAATACTCTGCCAGCTCTTTTGTCTGCTGGGGAGGGTGCCTCACCTGGGCCAAGCAGGTAAGGAGCCAGTTGGTCCAGTGCCTGCTAACCAGCCTCAGAGGTAAAGTCCTCTGCCATCATTCTGCCTTGCTCTTCAAAATGATCACTTGTAGACTTGAGAACAGGTCTCAAGGCCATCCACGTGGCCATCAGGACTGACCACTGTTCTTTCTCCCACCCACAGCGCCACTTAGCCCCAGAAGTGTTTCGGGAAATCTTTGGAATGTCCATACAGGAATTTGACAAGTTACCTCTTTGGAGACGCAACGACATGAAGAAGAAAGCAAAACTGTTCTAAGCCCACCCCCCCACACACACCCCGCTGTGTAGACAGCAGTTAGGAAAGAGACTGATGTGGCGGCGACACATAGGATGTTGTGTTAAGGCCCAAACTTGATTGGAGAATTTGCAAACTACTGTCCCTCAACAACAACAAAACGGGAAACCTGATTAAAACACCCATAAGCCAAATATTGGGCCAACCACTGGCAACACTTGCCAAGAAGTAACGGGGTCGAAATTTCTGTGTTCCCCACACTCGACAGTAGTGTTCACATGTGACCTTTTGACATTACCTTATGTACACAACAGGAGCTACTTCTTTCATTTCCTTTATTGTCTAACCAGAGTGCTGACCGTATGGGTAAGAGCCAGCAAGTGCCCTTAGGATGCCTCCTGGAAAAAAGCAGCTGTAATCATTCCGAAGTAGGAATATATTTATTATGTAGCACCATGGCTAAGAAGGAAGAGCCTGAGGGACATAGCCATGCGGTCACACCACTTTGCACACCTCTGTCCTCACTGGCCCCATGAAGCCCAGCCTGGGCCCCAGCAGGATAGAAATCAGAGTCGGGGAACTGGGCAGCTCTGAGTGAGTGGGCTGAATAGCAGCCAAGGTCATTTTTAACAAGCTCCTTTTCCTCTACTCTTTGCTAGGACCTGGTTGGCAAATTACTTAGCTATTACTAAAAAAAAAAAAAAAGAGAGAGAGAGAAAGAAAAGGAATGAAAGGAATATCTCCCTTAATCCTTTTTCTGCAGTAGATTGTATGCTTCATTCTGCCTCCCCACCACTGCAGGCCCCCGCTGCAAAGAAAGGAAAGGGAGAAATTATCTCCATTTGTGTGCTGTTAGATGATTTTTGTCCCAGGGCCACAGCACTCTTGGCAAAAAAAAAAAAAAAAAAAAAAAAGAAAGAAAAAAAAATTCTGTGTCCCGCCAATGCAAGTTCTTCTACCCTGCATCCTCTGCTTTTCATCCAGTGTCCTCTGAATCTGATCAAGCCCACATGGATTTTGGATTTTTTTTTTTTTTTTTGAGGTCTTTTCAGTAGTAGGCTAAGGAAAGGCACGCTTTGCTCTTGGAAATCTCTGCAACTCCAGGGTATATTGCCTCAGATTGATTTCATTTGGCCTTTTCAGCTTTCCTTCTTGCCTAGCTCTGTTGACTTCACTGTGTGTGTGTGTGTGTGTAAGTGTGTGTAAGTGAACGCACCCAGCGTAGTTTGGGGAGTCTGCATGTTCTTTTATATTTCACCTCTGCTGGAATGTTTGTCCCGCTGTGCTGCAGCTTCTGAGGGACGTTTGCACACGTGCACATGACTCAGAGGTTGGGGTTGAGGCTACACCGCACACGGCAGCATCCTCTGTGGAAGGGTGTCCGTGTCAGAAGCCAGCATCCCCTGTGATTCATGTAGCTCGGGTCAGCACAGTGAAGAGCCCAGACCTCAGATCAGGCTGTACACGGACATCGGAGTGTCACACCGGAGTCCGAAAATTCAGCAACACCAGATTCGAAGGGGAGCCTAGGATTTCACCGAAACTCGCATGTGAGACCCCATTGTGATTCCTGGACGCCTCTGGCCGTGACTCAAGTGAGCGGTGAGGTGGACAAGGGAGGGTATCTCCATCCAGCTCCACACGTGGGTGGTTTTCACATTTATTCTCGTGCTTTGGGGGCTCTGCCTAGGAATTTAAACTGTGTTTTAAAGCCAAAGGAGAAATTGTTTGAATTCTCTTCATATGCCGCTTCTAATTAAAGGTCAGAAATTCTTCCTGCTGCCACCAAATATTCGAATTAGTTAGTAGCCAATCTCCATGGTAAAAAGCAAGTAAAAATCATTTCGGAGCCTGTGCTGCAGACCTCTAGCTTGGGACCTACTCTGTCACCTGGGTGCTCTGATGGGCTCTCTGAGGGCTTTATGCCTCCCCTGTGCTCTTCCCGAAGGGCTTGGAAACGGCCTGTCCTTTCAGTGCTGCACACTGACTGTTTGAGGACCGCTCTCACAAATACGAGCATGCATGTGTGCACGTGTGGATGTGTGTGTGGATGTGTGTGTTGAACTTACTAACATATTTTGCAAATGATTCTGATGGAGCAGACATGAGACGACCAGCTCCTCCTTGGGCTGAAGCCCCTAGATTGCACCTTGCAGTTCGGTGCCTTCAGTGGCCTCTTGCTTTAATTCAGTACTTCTGCTGTTCCGTCTTCGCTCTGATCTCTCTGGCAGCGGCAGCCTCAGTATAATGCCTGCATATCCTAGTTCTTACTTTGCTCTGGCAAAGTGTGAGGAGTGGGGACCATGGTGCGTTCCCAGTAATCAACAATGAGGATAGCCAGATGGGTCCCAGTGCTAGGCTGGTGCAGAGAATTTGTTCATTACGGGGATCATAAAGGACCATCAGTGTTGTCGTTGGTTAACGAGTTATGACCCATGCACATGCCGAGCAAATGTCAGTGTGAGAAAAATTGCAATGATAGTTAAAGATCTGGACCCAAAACCTGCTCCCACCGACGAAACTCTACTTTTCTCATCTCTTTTGAATTCAGTTCTGCATCCAACTTGGGGGCGGAGGATGGGAAGCTTCTTTCCATATCAAGTGTATTAGCTAATTTAAAACTATACCATGCAAAAAAAAAAAAAAAAAAAAAAGCATTACCAGAAAATGTCAGTAGCCTCCTGTTGCAAGCAGCCCGGTGCTATGCTCTGGGGAGGGGTCATGGGAAACCATAATGTGGACTGGGTTCCCTGGCTCCACTCCCAGCAGGAGGCTCCAGCTGGAGGGATGGGTCATGGGGCAACCTAGTTCTCCTAACTGCCAAATCTAATATATGGCTATGATGGCCTATCCATTTTTTTTTTTTTTAACTGGACTCAGCATGCTTGTCCTCAAAATGTCCAGGCCCCTGTATAGGAGATCAGGGTTTTCTGCTTGAACCCCACTCTGCACTGCACATAAAAATTCCAGTTTTTTAATGCAGTCCAAGGAACAAGATTATTCACTCTGGGGGAGGACTTCTACACGTGGCAAACTTTCCTGGTCCATACCCCAAGGGCTATATTTTTGAGCACTGGGCTTATTTGTGATTGTTTAAACACACAACACCTGCATGAAGCAAAAGAGGCCTCTGACAACGTGAAAGTCACTGCTTCCTTTATAGTTTCTTCTACAAGAGCCAGGATACCATTTATTCTTCCCGTGTGGTTTAAGATGAGACCTAAAGAGCATTTGAGAACTTGTAGAACCAGCTATGCATCTATATTTTGGTTTGCGTTAGTTATGAAATGTCCTTAATGTGACTTCTTTGGTAACTAAAGATAAACTGCCTGTTCTCTGAAACCTCCCGAAACGGAAAAGCCAGGGTTAGTGGGTCGTACGGTGCATACTCCCTCTGCCGCTCTCATCCTCTCAACCTGGGGATGGCCGTCAACTCTACTTCGAGAAGTCTTGCTGGAAATATTTATAAAACTTTCCCCTAATTTCTTTACACTTTAAAGCAAACACCTTTTTCTAAAGAATTGCTTCTCGGATGATTATATAAAATATATATGCTTTTGCAAGTTAAAAAAAAATGGAATCAACCACTTTTGACTAGGTAGGTCTTTCTAAAAATTCTTTCAAAAAGCTTGGTGTTAGTGTTCTGTGCGTGGAAGGGGCAGGCGAGCCCTCTCTCTGACTGTCAGGAAAGATGGTGGAAGGACGTGAACGCCATGTAACACACCCCCCTGCCCCCGTGTCGTCTGAGGCAAGCTCTGTTTTTACAAATCACCTCTTCTATGTTACTGGTGACTGTTTAATCTACACTTCCTAGGCCAGCCTTGACCTGACTTGATCTTTAAAATTATTTTCTTTTGACAAACCAAGTGTTTGTGAATAAACCCTACAACTCACTCATTATACTCCCTTTTGAAGAATGTTCTCTTCAGAAAAAGAGATTATTTCAGGCTTAAGATTTGCTGTGACACCACCTTATAGTGATAATGCACATTAAGGAAACTAGGCAAATATATAATGAAAGAGAAACATTTACTTTGGTTTAAAAAAAAAAAAAACACACACAAAATCGCTCTTTCCATTTGCCGCCCGGGCAGCCATGAGGAGATGGTGATTGATGTGCTCTGCATATGGATTTTTGTGTTTTTATTTGGGTGAGTTTAATTTACAGCAGACTCCAAAGGAAAGGGGGAAGTGGTCCATTTCAGCTGAAAGAAATTTATAAACAGTATATGTAAACAGCAAAATTAAACAAATGCAACATTTTCTGATGGTTGGTGTAATGGACTGGCAATTGTTATCATGAAATAAAATTCTTCCCAAAAGTGTCTCTCTCGAGAGTGCAGATCCCACAAGTCACTTTCGGAGCCCATTCACCAAAGGTAGCAGAAGACAATACTATACCCACTACCATTCAGAAAGGTAGTGAGCCACTTAATGATTGTATATGCCTGTCTCACCCCATGGAAGAGAAAACAGTCGTCCACAATCTTGATGTTCTTTTGGGTTCTGTGTCCAGACCCGTCCAGTAATAAATGTGTGTGGCATCTGTGAGTTGCTGACAATCCAAATCTCTTGGAGTCCTTTCATTTTAAGTTCAGTTTAATGGAATTTTCTTGCAAGCGTCAGAAGACATCCAGTCAGTTCTTCCTTCCACATATGGGTGTGAGTATTTGGAAGAACCGCTGTGTACAAGATGTGTCCTGTCCCCCGTGAAAGTGAGTGGGTGTCGGTCTGCACCCCACAGACCATGGACTAGTGTGCAGAGGCAGGGGCGGCTGCTGGCCCCGCGCTGCCATGCCTGACGGTCCCGACCTGCTCCGCGCTCCTGTTGCAGGCGGCACCTGCCGCTCCCCTCTCTGTCCTCTGTGTCGCTGCTATACACTCACCACTCAGTGAATAAAGTGTGTGCTTTATTCTGTTGACAGACGCCTCCGTGTCACGTTTCCTTGTTCGCTCCCCTGCACCTTTTAAAGGTCTGTCCCGTTTTAAGAAGTACCAGTCTGACTTTCGATGACCAACACAAAACCAGAATCAAACCAGAGCCTTGGGAATGCATTTTTAGCACACAGGAAGGCTGTTGAGAAGGGGAAATACAACAAATTGCAATGGTATATTCCAGGACTGTTTGTCCAGTAATCCAGACCAAATTGACCAAGTTGACTAAAGTGAAAATATGTATTTTTTAGAGGGAGAGTGTATGAGCAGGGGCTGGGGGGAGGGAGAGAGAATCTCAAGCAGACTCCCGGCTCACAGCCCTGAGATCATGACCTGAGCCAAAATCAATAGTTGGATGCCCAACCCCCTGAGCTACCCAGGTGGCCCTAAAGGGAAAATATTTAAAAAGAGCTACTGGGCTGTGCTGATCTACCTGGTGTGTGGTTTTGTGATGCAGAGCAGTGACAAGAAGGAGGCGTTGGAGAAGTTTGAGGACAAGAGCTTCTGGACCGCCATGAGTGTGGGCCACTTACTAAGAAACTGCAGTGCAATGGTAGAAATATGTCTTTCAGAGTTTTGACCTCCCCTGCGTTATCAGACTTTAAGTGAAGAAAGCCTTCTAGATTTTGATGTACACGCTATTCTCATTGCCACAATTTTGGGCCCGCTGGAAAATGCAAGGATGTATTTAGACTCGAGATGGCCTCTTCTGACCATAGCCATTCTACTGCGTGTCTGGCAAGCCTGTTGTCTTAGTTCAGGCTGCTATTCACAGACTTCCATGGACTGGGTGGCTGGAATGGCAAACCTTCATTTCTTACAGTTCTGGAGGCTGGGCAGTCCAAGGTCAAGGTGCTGGCAGATCTGGCGTGTGGGGAGAATGTGCTTAGGTTTGTAGATAGCGGTCTCTTTGTGTCCTCCCGTGGCAGAGAGAGAGAGGCAGCAAGCTCTTCTGTCTCTTCTTCTAAGGGTGCTCATCCCTTCATGAGGGCTCCACCCTCATGATCTAATTACCAAAGCCCTTGCCTCCTAATGCCATCCCACTGAGCATTAGGATTTCAACAGATAAATTTGGGGGGCCAGGGGACATAAACATGCAATCCATAACGCCTGTCCAGGGGCCAGTCACACTAGCATTCATGTGGACCCTCATCACAAAGCCAGAAACTGAGATTGGGCTCCAGACAGTTGGCAGCTTTAGTTTACTGGTGTAGAAAACAGGTCAGGAGGCCCAGCTAGAGGCCTGTGTTCTATTCACTTCTGTCCCCACCTGCGCCGGCATCCCCACTGGGCTCTGATGACCACAGTCGGCATGTGCCTTCAGCCCTCTCTTGAGATCTCTGTGGCTTTTGCCACTATGATCACCATTTCATTGAAAGCTGACCCCCCCGTGTCACGTTAGTGGTTAGCCCTCGCACACAGCCAAGTTCACAGCCCATGGCCCTCGCCTCGTCCACTGCTGTCCCTCCCACAATGCCCCACCTTTGAGTCTTGCCCTCCAGCTCTTCCGAACCACTGCGAGTTTCCTGAACATACCATGCCCTCTCCCGCCTCTGCAGCTTTGGCGATGGCATTCCTCCCGTACAATGTGCAATTCTTCAAGGGGTTGGAGAGCGGGAGGATCTGGCCCCAGGGGCAGGAGGTAATGGCAACGCTATTTGGAATCAGTCATCCATAGCTCTTGGGAGTTACCCATGTGAATTTCCCATGGGCTCTGTTCGTCCTGAATCAAAGACAAGCCTGAGTTCACACCTTCTCTAAGAGCCTGCCTTGATGAGTCCAGCCCAGCCTGCCCCAGGAAATTCTTTGCACGCCTATGGTTGAACATCACGTGTGACACTTTTCAAACGTTGCCTAGGACTGCTGGCTTTGCAGAACAGTGAACTGCGGTGCGGTCTCTACTAAGTGCCAGGCTTTATGTGAACCGTATTTCTAGGGCAGCCCTCAAGACAGGTCACTGTGGCTCTGCTATGCAAGTCAAGAAACCAAAGCTCAGTGCCTAATGAAATATGCCCGAGCATCAACCAGTAAGCCGTAAAACTGGGATTACTGAGGCCTAACTTGAAATCCCATCCTGTTCTCTGCATCTCCGTGACCTTCCGAAGGCAAGGACTGCCTCTCCCATGTTCCCAGTCTCCTGGGGTGCGCTGCAGAGAGGAGGTTCTCCATGTGAGACTTGCCAGTGCCCTTCACTAGGCGGTGAGCCCCATCACTGCTGCCAAGGTGCTAGTATGAGCAAGCTTGGGGGGTACTCACTAGCTCTGAGTCTTAGGCCAGTTATTTTGCCTCCCTAGGCCTCAGCTTGTTCTACTGCAAAATGAACAAAATACTAATACCCTTCAGAAAACTTGCTACATTTTAATTCATATCGAGCACTGCATAGTACCCAGGACCTAGTAATTGCTCAAGAAACATCAGTGATCTTTATGAAGAGTAATCAGCCACTCAGACTTGAAGAACCCCCTATTCTCTGAGCCTCAGTCTCCTCATCAGTAAATGAGGAGTGACTACCTGAGTTCTGGCTACATTCTGGGGTAGTTAGGCTGAATGAAGCAAGGTGGAGTGCTCAGACACAGGAAAGCGTTACCTTGATAAGTGGTGTGGGGGAATGAGGGTTTCTTGGTACTACTCTACATAGTTTCACCACTCAAGAATTTTAGTTTTTGTTCTGGGCTTTTTCTCCCCCAGTCTTTTATAAATAGTGCAGCATGAAACCAAGCCCACAACTTCTTTAAAATGCTTTAGTAACAGCCCGCTCTTGGTCCAATAATACTGTAGGATTGAGATCCTCTGAAGATGGGCCAGTGAATAGTAATATCAGAAAGTATCACACAGGGCGCCTGGGTGGCTCAGATGGTTAAGCATCTGCCTTCGGCTTGGGTCATGATCCCAGGGTCCTGGGATCGAGTCCCGTGTCGGGCTCCCTGCTCCTTGGGAACCTGCTTCTCCCTCTGCTTCTCTTTCTCTCTCCCTCTCTCTCTCATGAATAAATAAATAAAATCTTTTAAAAAAAAGAAAAGAAAGTATCACACAGCAGCTGAGTGCTGGCTATGGGTTCAAACTGGCTGGGCTTGGGGTTCCAGGTCCACCAATAATTAGCTGGGTAATGACTAACAATTTGCTTAACTTCTCTAAGCCTCAATTTTCATTTCTATAAAAGAGGAGTAATAATAGCGACCTCAAAGGGTTATTGTGAGCTTCCTGTAGAACAGGGCCTGGCATCATACAAGATGAATAGTCAAGCATAATCTTTTATTTAAAAAAAAAGTCACTGCCATGTAATAAGGAGCTATATGTACGCAGCCCTGAGCTAAGTGTATCATGTGGTTTATTCCTTACAGCTGTTTACATTACCCCTCCACCAGCAGCCCCCAACTCCCCAGTTTCAAGTTCAGCATGTAGGCAAGTGTCATGCAGAGAAGGGCTCAGGTGCCCCTTACAGTATTTGGGCACATTTCCTCGGCTCCAGAAAGCCACCAGTCCTACTCAGCCCCTCCTGCCCATCGAGGGAAGGGGGTTCCTCCTCTCCACGGGGCCAGCCCTGCCTGGGTGTGTCGCCAGCCCTGCCCTGTTGGACTCGCTCATTGTTGGCCGGAAAGCCCTGGGAAGGGTGGGGACTTGGCGCTGGAGAAAGCCCAGGGTGGTCAGAGGACTAGTGCCCAAAACTTCTGGGAATCCCAACTCCGAGCTTGAGAACCTGCCTCCACACCCTAAATTTCCTTCCCCCGCCCCCCCCCCCCCCCCAGCTCCTGCAGTAGGCCAGGACTCTGACAAAAGGTTAGTCTTCCCCCTTCCACTCCTATAGCCCTCAGGGGTGGGCTGTAGTGAGTCAGGGCTCTGGAGGAGGGGGTAATATGTCCACAATTAGTTTACTTTCTAATCTCAACTGGATAAAGAATGCTCTCTGGGCCCCGCCATTGCCATTGTACTAAGTACAATGGCCGCCCCTAGAGAGGTTTTTCCATATTTATTTGTGCTGTACCCTTGCGGCTGTGTGTCTTAACTCAGCCCTTCCCCTCAGATAAAAAGAAAAGTTGGCTTGGGAAAAACCTCTCCTCCAAAGCAGAAGCAGTTTCTGCTTTGCCCTTAGCATGTTTTAGTGGCGGGACTTCCCAGAACATCCCAAAGGGCCTGCAGGCAGGGCAGAGCCCCGGGCGGCTTCCAGACACAGAGTTTGGGAATCTGACTCAAGGTACAGGAGTCCAGATGATAAGGAGAGGGTGGACGGTGGCACTCGCAGACATTTGGTGAGGACCTCTGGAACGCCAGGCACTGGGCTAAAGTACTTGGTGTAGATTCTTTCACTTCTTCTGCTTCTAACCCCTCCCATCCAAAAGCCACATCCCCCCGGAAGGCTTTCAGAGCTCTCCGGGGCCTCTGTGTTAGCGCGTGGTTTTCTAACGATCTGCCAAAAAAGGACCATCTTTGCAGAGACAAATAATACCAGCCTCTCTCGGCAAGGTGGGGCCTGGCCATGAATATCAACACTTTGTTCTAAACTGGACACATGGTTGGCACAGAAAGAGTAGGTCCTTTCGTTCCTGCTTTTGTGTTGGAATACACCTCTCGTAATGAAAGCTAGAAAATGTTCTTGGCGATCACTTCCCATCAGATAGGAGCAAAAATCAGCTGG